TCCAAGGTTAGATCAGCCCCAGCAAACCGCTTCCCTTGTAGACTTCCAGCGCTGGTTCACCACATCAACACTCCCACATCGGCACGGAGGAGATACAAGGATGAACCTACACCTTTGGCAGTGAACCAACCGTGCCGACTGGAGCCGACTCACCAACCAACGGTATTCATGCCCAATCAGAGAGTAGACCAGATAAGATCACAATCGGAGAGGGCACAGCACCCAGGCATAAGAGCCACACCCCAGGCCAAGATTGGGGGGGCAACAATCTCTCAACCCTTTACTCTCTCATCTTTACACAGCTCATACTGCTATCTTTCGCCTCCTCCACCTTACACTGGCTTAAACATCGAAGGGGTCAAGCCGGGAAGTCCCCCGACACCGACCTGTTGTGCAGGATCACTAGTGCCCAGGAGACAACCTCGCATCTTAAAGATGACCCAACGACCAAGAGAGGACCTCACTGCCGAGCAAATCCCAGTTCCTCTACCAGGCCTCACTACTCCAACGTCAGATCAGCCCTAGCAAACCGCCTCCCTTGTAGACTTCCAGCGCTGGTTCACCACATCAACACTCCCACATCGGCACGAGGAGACACAAGGATGAACTTGCACCTTTGGCAGTGAACCAACCGTGCCAACTGGATCCGACTCACCATCCAACGGTATTCATGCTCAATCAGAGAGTAGACCAGATAAGATCACAATCGGAGAGGGCATGACACCCAAGCATAAGAGCCACACCCCAGGCCAAGATTAAGGAGGCAACAATCTCTCAACCCTTTACTCTGTCATCTTTACACAGCTCATACTGCTGTCTTTCGCCTCCTCCGCCTTACACTGACTTAAGCATCGAAGGGTTCGAGCCGGGAAGATGACCCAACAGCCAAAAGAGGACCTCGTTGCCGAGCAGATCTCAGTTCCTCTACCACGCCTACCGCTCCAAGGTCAGATCAGCCCCAGCAAATCGCTTCCCTTGTAGACTTCCATCGCTGGTTCACCACATCAACACTCCTACATCGGCACGGAGGAGATACAAGGATAAACCTGTACCTTGATAGTGAACCAACCGTGCCGACTGGAGCCGACTCACCAACCAACGATATTCATGCCCAATCAGAGAGTAGACCAGATAAGATCACAATCGGAGAGGGCACAGTACCGAGGCATAAGAGCCACACCCCAGGCCAAGATTGGGGGGGCAATAATCTCTCAACCCTTTACTCTCTCATCTTTACATAGCCCATACTGTTATCTTTCGCCTCCTCCACCTTACACTTGCTTAAACATCGAAGGGGTCGAGACGGGAAGCTCCCCGACACCGACCTGTTGTGCAAGATCACTAGTGCCCAGGTGACAACCTCACACCTTGAAGATGTCCCAACAGCCAAGAGAGGACCTCGCTGCCGAGCAAATCCCAGTTCCTCTACCAGGCCTCACTGCTCCAAGGTCAGATCAGCCCCAGCAAACCGCCTCCCTTGTAGACTTCCAGCGCTGGTTCACCACATCAACACTCCCACATCGGCACGGAAGAGACACAAGGATGAACCTGCACCTTTGGCAGTGAACCAACCGTGCCAACTGGACCCGATTCACCATCCAACGGTATTCATGCCCAATCAGAGAGTAGACCAGATAAGATCACAATCGGAGAAGGCACGACACCCAAGCATAAGAGCCACACCCCAGGCCAAGATTGGGGGGGGGCAACAATCTCTTAACCCTTGACTCTCTCATCTTTACACAGCTCATACTACTGTCTTTCGCCTCCTCCGCCTTACACTGACTTAAGAATCAAAGGGGTCGAGCCGGGAAGCCCCCCGACACCGACCTATTGTGCAAGATCACTAGTGCCCAGGAGACAACCTCACAGCTTGAAGATGACCCAACAGCC